CGTGATAGTTGACGAGGGCGCAGCCCGAGTCAACTATCACGCCATAGAAGTCGAGAGCGAATAATCTAACTGTTTAATAGAAACTTGAAAAAGCTGTGGAAACACTCGCCTGCGGCTCGTGTTCCCGTAGCATTTCTCGTTCTCCCAAACTTTCACGAGTGTTTCTATAACTCGTTAGAAACACAGAGAGCATGTTTTCTATTTCTTTTAGAAAACACGGTGACGAAAAAAGGAAAACAACTTCTTTACTTTGATCACCAAAGTGTAAATTCTCTTTGCTCGCGCCATCATTACATCAACAGCTCGTGCTAGCTCTGTGTTTCTATCGAGTTAGAGAAACACGATTTTTAACCAATCAGCGCGCGTATTTTCTTAGGGCTGTTTTTTAAATGTATATACAGCTGGATCTTCCTAGAAACATGAGGTCAGGGTTTACCCACTCCAAAAAAGTGATGTGTACCTCCGTTATCACGACGAACTCTTTTACGCCGTCGTACCAAACAATTTCTGGCAGACAGTTATAAAGGCGTGGATATTTTTCAAATGTATAAGAATACAGTTCAAAGCACTTAAGGACACAAGGAGGTAATTAATGTTAAATTTACTGTTTTATATCTTTAACGCTTTGAAACGCATCGAATTCACGCGCGACGCATTCTCGGGGTTTGTCGAGAGGCTACTTTTATGAAAGGCAACCACTTTATCTTTTACGATACTGTCAGTATTTCATAGCTGCAACAACCTCAAACCAACGCCAATATTGTTGAAGATCTTCCTATTTTAAATAAAGTAAACTATGTTATGTTAAAATTTTTATTTTCTATCTGGACGGTTTTATTGGATAGCTCTCTCTATCGACTAAGCGAGGAGGTACCAAGACTCTCTTTTCTGTGGGACTTTTTTTCCCCGGACTTCTGTCGTGTTCGTTTTCCGTCCAACTTCTACAACTGCTTTTACTGCTCAAGAACTACTCCTCAAGAACTACTACTTGACTAACAAATGCACACGTACGTAATGAAATAGCCTGTCGGTAGCCATGTGTGGGCCACACGGGACGAACTGACCTTGGATGATTAAACATCGTTTTGAAAATACTAATCTAAACACTATCACACGACTTTGAGAGCAATTTGCAGAGTTCTTGAAACAACCAATAGAAACTAAGGTTCAGAGAACAAGAAACCTAGACAGGATCTTTGTGGGAGATACAGACCAAGGCCAGCAAACAAATCCAAAAATGACTATCCATGGGATTTTGTTCGGAGCTCTAGTAATCTTGATATACTAGGATAAACAACTTAAAGTCATAAGACTCACTGTGTGGGCAGGCATGCTCCTGAAATTTCAGGACTAACGTGGTAACTACAAAAATTAATGATAAGCAATCGGTAATCACTAACTAAAAATACTTCTATACAAGTTTCATATTATTTGAGCCAAAAGATAACTTATTGTAGACGTTTGATGATGGCCAACTTGGAACGTAGCGCAGGGTATTTCCTGTTATTACTGGTTGTCAGTGGTTTATCGATTCTTCCATTCGCTTTCTGTCAATACTGTAACACTGTAATTAGTAAGTTTATTTGAGGGTCTTGAGGAGTTTAATCGATAATTGATAATTGCTTAAAGTTGTCCCTGTCAGCTAAAAAAATGATACGTGTTTAATGGATAGAGATCTGCATGAGATCTGAGATGGGCATGATTTACCGATAGCTGCGAAGTCCCCCAAAATTTGATATTTATCGGCAGGGATAAATAACGGTTTCATGGTTGCCGATGAAGACGAAGAAAAAAAATTTCCAAGGCCACACCTTGTTTCAGGCTGGTCAAAGACAACATTTCATTTTCCCCTAATACACAACAACTAACTTACTCCTTCACACTCAAAATAATAGCTTTTGTCTTTAATGAATCGTTTTTTGCAAGGTTATGGACTTTGCCTACGGCTTGGTTTGTAAACTTGCAAGAAAAGAACTCGACCAATATTCCCCAACACTGACCTCACGATAGTTCAACTGTTGTACTTTTTTTCTCGTCAAACAGGTGAACCTCAAATAAATATCTCGTCAACTCCGTCATCCAACAAACTGTCGATTGGTGCAACTATCAATTTGACTTGCACTGCGTGGCAGACTGATCAACTGGCGAAGACTGATCCAAAGACAAGACCACATAGAATTGAATGGTTTGATCCACAAGATAAACGAGTTGGATTCCAATGCCGGGCTGGATGGCCACCAGCTAGACTTTTGAAGTGCACATTAGAGGTCGGTGCCTTGACGGACGGAATGCTTGGTAACTGCACTTGCAGGGCAAGGAATGGTTACGATTACTGCAGCACCAAAAGATTTCAAGTTGGTCGTCAACAAGGTAAATAAAAGAAGTCTGAATGCCAGTTGTGAAAAGAAATGCATTGTTTAATTAAGCTTGAACATCTTTAACCCCTACCATTTAGATTAGTAGAAGAAAAGGCAGAAATTGGGTAAGGAGATTATAGGGGGCCAGTTTCATTAATACATTTCGTGTGATACCACGTATCACACGAAATGCTTATGTATTCGTATAGACACGAATACATAAGCATTTCAGCCTACTATTGCTCATTGTTCATGGCTCATTCTATCACGTCATGGCCAAGGGCGCTTGAGGTATTCTAAGGGCACCCGAGAAGCGTATTTGTAATTACAATGACATTTTGTTTCATTTTTTTGTCCATAGACATCCCTAGTCCAAAGGATGTTGGTCACCCGTGAACCACAGTACTTTGAGTGACGGTCTGATTAACTCAGCGTACATCAGATATTTCCTGAATAATTCTACATCTGTTTTTTGTATTTAGTTGGAAAGTATTATCATTTTGCCTTTTAAGTAAAAGTTAAACGTACTCAAAAATTTCGTAAAAGTTTGTTATTGCTTAATTAATATAATTACGGTAAACTAACATCGATGTTTAAGGTTGACTTAATGAAGCAATAAATAATGCTATAATTATTGCCATAACTTTGTTCTTATCATCGTACATATAATTCAGTAATTATTTACAAGCTTAGTTTTGATTATCATGGCAATATGGTCTAAGGCATAAATAGTACCAATACAAGACGAGCGTAAGCATACCAAACTAATATTACATTTAGACACGTCAGGAACACTGTCCATTGAGTAAATGTTTTTAGTAAATTGATATTTTTGAATTCTTTTCGTTGTTTGCTCAAAAAGACGGCTTAAAGAATTAAAATCAGCCTTCCCTTATGTTGCTCTTGTAATTAAATGTCTTGTTTACCCCCCTCCAATACAAGTTGCCCTTGTAACGTTTATGTTTACTCATTTTATGAACTAAGTATGTACCGACCTCGCTAGAGGTCTCAATCGTTAGCACTGTTCTAGTTTACGGTATGTGCCGATTCCTGTAAAATTGAAATATTTTTCTCTCTATAGAAACTGTAATTCTCATGTCAAGTAATCTAGCCAAAGGAAGACACTGATTTACTGGTTGTACTTCATTTTGGATTATTTGTTAATCGACAAGAAAGCTAAGACTGCGTCAAGCGAACTTTTTATACTAAAAAAGTTGTCTCTAGGTAATACAAAACCAGCTGTTATAATTCTCGATACATTATTTCGATCAAGTTTTTTCATGCAAGAACACCGTTAAAAAGTGGAGAAATATATCATTCAGTCACTAGCACGTGCGGCCTTCCTGTAAAAAAAAATAATGGAGCTCTCCCAACAAGATATAAAACTACGGTTGAAACCTTGCGAACTCTGATGGAATTCTCTAGCTTTAATTTGAGTTATACTTCAACATGAACCCTCAGTGAAAACGAAAAACATTTGTAGTCATCAGTAGTTAGAGTATCGGAACTGTTGTCAGTAAAAGGTAAGCTAAAGTGCATTTAATGAGATAGCATTATATATATATACTGAGTGCAATCAAGGCGAGGAAAATGTTATTTTAATTCCAGTTACACCGAGTTGTGCGTGTTTTGAGGTACCGGGATTTTACTGTACGTTTTAAATGTGACTTACTTCGATCACCGCATACTTTAATTGGTTTCATTGGTATGTTGGGATGAAATGCTGTTATAGGTTACCTGTTCACATTGTTTTGTAAAGACTGATGGATTTATCCCCCTCCAAAAAAAAGAAATTGTTGGAGCAATCATTTCTCTCGCGTTTTTATACATGTGTACAGCAGAAGATCCATACGTTGATGCGCAAAGAAGTTTTCCGCGACTTTTATCTTTAGCGCCGTTGAAAGTGTGAAAGAGACTATTTAAGCAATTTTTTAAAAAATATACAAACTCCACATGACCTTAAGTTTGCTTATATCTGCAATTTTGCTTTTGCATCAGATTTACGAGCGGGGAAATCACTGAAAACAAAACAAAACAAAACAAAACAAAAAGTCTGCGGTCACTAAAAATATTCCAATCAAAAAGAAATCAATATAACTAGTAAAAGTAGTTTTTGTCACGTTTTGCAATGTAGTAGAACCTGACTTTTATTTTGCAAGTTGATACTTTCGAAATCTGCAAATAAAGTTGGCAATGTTATTTTTAAATTGCATGCATGTATGAAGAAAGCTCGAAACCGATATGTTTTCTGGTAACATCAAAACATCAAAGTATAGTGTTAAGGTAGAGGAAACTAAAAACTTCGAACAAAAAGTATAATTCATGTGATATCTTTTTCCAGCATTCTTTAATTTTGTGTGAGAACGAAGTGGATATGTACACTAATCTAAAAACCATTCCTGAGACAAAATATACGTTTGTGTTTCACGACGTACCTCAATGATTTTTGATACATGTTTACATGTATTTCAGTTTGAATTCACAAATCAAACGGAAACAGTTTGATTAGTCACAGAGATGATAACGAACGTTTTCAGTTTTTTTAAATGTCATGTTCTAACACAGTTTTGGTTTTTTCCAAACCATCTTCCGGTCCACGTATATAAATGAAAGGGCGAATTGATGCCACATTGTCATTCAGTAGGAATACATCTCAGAGGATTTAACTATTGCAAGGTACAGTAGCCTTTAATTTAAATGTGTTGAGTCAAATGTTGAATTTACAATTTTAAAGAATGGTTTCAACGAAATGTAGTTCTTTGTGTATTATATACAAAACACATAGCTTATTTTTGTGAACTATTGGGCATTCTGAGAGATTTAGTCCATAATAGCCTTGGATATGCAAATATTTCTTTCTTTTTTCAGAAAGACTGACAATAAAGCTTCTACCATGTCGACAGAACAATATCATCGTTTCTGGCCGAGGGCAACTAAAACCTGTTTGGTTGCGACAGTGAAAGACAATAAAGTAGAAAGTGTCAGGTTTAAAGAAAGTGTACGTAACGATGGTTCAGAAGAATGGAGAAAGTTACAGCTTTTCATGTTGATGAATTCGTCTCTTTCACTTGTTGTCTGGCAGCGTACTTCATCATAAAATTTACAATTTTTGACTTGTGTGTAATAATTGAACTGGTGTTCTGCGTAACCCATTGTTTTATCAGTTCAATTCAATATGCCAGTCCAACATCATTTACGTTTAACCTATCTGTAAAAAAAGTGTCTATTGTGGTTAAACTTAATTCGCACTCGAAGTGACTGGACTGTACCATATTACGGGAACTTATACCGGTCTCCGTACACGGAAGTGCAGACAAAGGGTAATGTTACTTCCCCCGAAGGGAATACTAATCCGTGGTAGGTTAGCCCCCAGCATGCTGAAACATTTCTTTAACACATCGCCATTAGGCCGCCGCCTCTCCTTCTCGTCTACTTGATACGGTTTGGTAGTATTGATCCGTCAAACTAATAAAACTGGAAACTGAAGGAGGCTGTTGCCAGCCACCTTAAATGTAAAAATTGTATAATTATTAATCCTTTTATTTCATGTTTTTGTCTTTTCTTTGACACAATTAAGTTAACGTGGAAGCTAAGGAAGTATCATGTGGTTCTTCGGCAATTTGTTGGCGGTTTGTGTTTAAACTACGCAACAAGGAGTACGCCCTGAATGTAGACAACAACAACACTGTAACTGCAGTGGAGGTGGGTTATGAATCTCGCTTTCTTCCGTGCATCCTCTTCACTAGGCATTAGAGATCAACAAAAATGCTGATGTAAGAGAGACAAAAATACTGACGTAAGTGAGAGAAAGTCCTCTTTTCTAGTCGCAGATCACAAAACATAATTCAAATGTACTCTTTACATCTGCTTTACTTTATGATATATGTCAAAGCGTGAGGTCAACAAAAGCAAATTTTCTTGAGACTGGCTTTCGGTCACGACCTGCATGTACAAGATTACATATCTAATTAACAACTACATATTGGATCGGAATGCTGATCATTTTCATTCTGGAAAATTGTGGTAATCGATTAAGGTTTTGGGAAGATCCGATATAATTGAGCTATTGAAATTATATTTGGCTCTGCAATAGGCATGCATTATCAACACTACAAAAATTAATTATCTTGAAATGATGCTGAGTTCAGAATCGTTAAGTTCACTAAGTTAAGGGGCAAGACCCTAACACTTTGCTGAATTGCTGAAGCATATTTCATGGGGAAAAGTTGTTTTTAGTTTGAAAGAAATTTCGGATTTGTCCGTGAACTATTTGATGCGTTTGGGGGAGTGTTGATATTCTAAAACATAACATGACCAATAATGATCATTGTGTCTCCTTTTTCTGTCACAGGTTCCTGATGAAGATGGATCAAAAAAGGGAACACATTTTGTGCCAACAAACTCAGTTAAATTTCAAGAATTCGTATGGGAAATGAAGTCCGATGACACGAGCCAACTGTCTGGGAAGTACATCGCTGTTGATGAAGAAGGACGTTTATCGGTGATACCACCTCGCCATTTTGTACAAAAATCAGTATGTTCGGAGGAGAAAGAAACACAATGAAAAAAACAAAAAAACAAAACAAACAAGACTGTTAAAATGTTAACAAATACGCTTTATGTAAACGGAACAGCTGAATACATTTCTAGATATTCCGTTTTCTTATTGAGATGAAAGAAAAAAATGCATATCGTAACAGCTTCAAGGTTGAAAATATAAGGCTGTAATTAATATAATCATTTGAATTAAAGAGAAATTGAGATTTATAGTTGTTTGTAGAGTAAAAGACAATTAGTGATCGAAGGGGAGGTGAAAAGCATTCCGTTTTCCTTGTTTAGTGCTTATGTTTATGTTGACGGGTATTCCTGCATATAAGGCAATGAGACCTGCAGACGCTTGGCTTTGTTAAGCCTCTAAACGACTTCTAAAAGCCTGGCTTTAGAAAATTGTTATCAGGCTAGGTGAAACATTTGACTGCAAATTAAAAACAAAAAACCCTTTTACAATATGTGGTCGCGGTACGAGCCTTTTCTAATTCATGTTAGCATTTATGCTTGCTAACCTTTATGCAAAAATAGATCTTCTTGTATTTTACAATTTTCAAAATTCCTTCCAAATTTTTCATTTACTTATTTGAGTTAGGAACTTGATAATACAAACTTAAAAGTCCTGCTATTTCATATTCTACGTGGAAACGCCAAATGTAGGTTTACAGGATGCAAGCGATTTCATAAATGAAATTAGGCACTCAAAAAACCTGAAAAACGTCTCCGAAAATAAAAATGTCAAGCCTGCGTGTTTAAAAGCAATAAGAAAAGATCATAGCAATGACGATGTTTCATTTTCCAAACATAGGTGGTATTTTGCCTATGTGCTTTTGCTCACACGTAGATGAAAGCTGAGAGAGGTGTTTATGACTGTGGTCATGTATCGGTCACAACAGCGCGACCGGCAAGGTCAAAGAATTGGTACAAGACAAAGTTAGAAAATGAGATTGTGTTTAGCAGGCGAAGAAGCTTTTTCTTGGCTAGAGAACTTGATGGTTTCCACTCGCTTTCTCTCCTTGTAGAGTCCAAGCTAAGCCTAACTTCTTGTTAAGTTTTCACTTCATTGTCTGTGTATTGTCTTTTTAAGTACACATTGAAATTCTGCTGATGCTCGCTTCAGAATAGGCCCTTTGTACGATCCGGTCACATGGTACGGAATAAATTATGCTGGGACGCAAGTTAGACAGTGGAACTTCTAAAACAAAGAAGAGTCGGGCTGGACTGGTACGAGTTCCTTTGTTTTGGATGTCCCACTGTGTAACTTGCGTCCCAGCATAATTTATTCTGTACCATGTGACCGGATCGTGCAAAGGGCCTATTTAAGTTCGAAACCCATGATTTAATTTCTATTTTAAAATAAGGTTACCGTACTTGGAGCAAAAATTTCAAATTTCTTTTTCTTTTAATCGTACCTTTTTTATCTTAACGGAAGTTCGAAATCCGTGATTTAATTTATATTTTGAAATAAGCTTATTTCAAGTAAAAAAATTCAAATTGCTTTATCTTTTAATTTTAATTTGTTGCTTACACTACATTTCTTCTGTATTCTATGCAGTTCGACCAAAGGGAACATTTCTTCACGGATGGTATACAAGTCACCATCCATGATCGAGTAAATACGCTCTAAAATTTGAGTGAGGGAGAGACAAATTAACATTCAAGAGACTGTGCAGATCTACTTTTTGCGAGAGAGATTCACTGTCCAATCGCGTCGGATCAAGCCATGTCAAACACCCATGGTAGCTGCAATGTATGTAGAGTTTCATTTTGCTTCTAGAAACGAGATATGCAACCATCCATTCGAATATATCTGCATTGCTAGTATAATTAACACAAGCAATTGCCATAATAGGAATAAATTTGTGTGATTTCCTTCTCCAAGAAAAAAATTATCGTTGTTTTTAATGTCTACATTACAATCTACACTATCTTTTTTATTTTGCTGTTATAGTTGACTAAAGTTGCATTTTTTATCAGACGGGAGGTATGATAAAAAGGCCGGGTTTTCAAACATTAATTGATAATTTGTTTACTAAAAGAGATGTAGTGGGTCTACTGTGGGTATGTGAAAGGGGTCTCAAGCTGGAAGCTACATGCATGTGACAGGGTAACCTTTTCTGGAAAAAGCACTTAACAAAATGGGAAAGCATTTGGACCTTGCGGTAGAGCCTCCTCTTATAAAACTTTGTTAAGTCTCTTTGTTCAAGAGTAGCAAAATATGTGAAGACTTCAAGATGTGTGAGCCCAAACCAACTATAATTAGCCCACAACGCGTTGTGTATAATTATCAATGTGATCTGTGTGATGCAGTGTATCTCGGCTACACCAGCCGACACTTATTGCAGCGTATTGACGAACACCGTTATTCAGCAATCGATTGGCATTTGAAGAACGACCACGGTCTGGAAACTATCGGCGACCTCACCAACAACTTTTCCGTTTTGAAGAAGTGTAACGGAAAACTGGACTTTCTGATTTATGAAATGTTATTCATAACGAAGAAGAGGCCATGCTTAGACACACAATCAGACTCCGTACGCGCAAAACTATTTATTTAAATTTGTCACCATTTACACACTTTTTCACCTTTACGTTATATCACCTCGCATGGTATATATTAAGTTATCAATTTTATTCTCTCTCCACCTGAAAATGATGACATGGAGCCTTCGAAACGTTGTGTAAAACCTCTTTCGCTTGCTTTTATCCTTAAAAGTACTTTAATACAGTTAAGTTATAAATGTGACCTCAACTGTTGACAATGGCAACAGAAAAAGGGAATGCAACAATTACCCGGAGGGCGGGGGAAGGTAGGGAGGGGGCTATGAAATGGGTGGAATATATGCCCCAAAACTAAGTCATACCCCTTCTCTTATTAAGCAAAAATTAATTTCAACACCCCCTCACATAATGATAATATTAAGGCTAACCCCTCCACCCTTGAAAAACGTCTCCTCCTATATATAACAGAGGCATTCTTTTTCTACTGCACGACAGATAGGAAAACAGCAGTTTATAGATCTGAACAGAGTTGATAAATTTGTCAGTTTTATTCCAATCTTAGTATATATATTTAAGCTCTAATAACTCTTCCACTACTTTTCCAGTTTGNTAATATTATCATTATGTGAGGGGGGTTGAAGTTAATTTTTGCTTAATGAGAGGGGGGTATGACTTAGTTTTGGGGCATATTTCACCCATTTCCCAGCCCCCCCTCCAAGTAATTATTGCATAGTCCCTTATTTATTACTTCAGCAATGTCCAATGAATAAATAAGTAAATATTTTTTTTGGTCTTTTTTCTTCTTTTTTTCCAGCTTCAATCACAAACTGCAATTGCAAAAAAAAGAAAACTGACTAGTTTCAAACAACCCTAGTTATACATCTGACCCTGTTGTTCAAAAGTTGGATCCGCTAATATAGGATAAGACGCCATTCAATCAGGACCCGGTGAGAGCGCGGTTTTTGTCCAGATCAAACTACTCTGAGAAAACTGGTGAGTAGTGCAATACCAAAAAGCCTATTCTCACAGCATTGACATCAAAGCGAAGTTTGCGTGCAATGGGTTTCTGACAATCTTTAGGAATCTTTTAACAACACGTGGTTCAATCCGTTCGCAAAAGAGGAGGAGACAGGAGTAAGTGTGGAACCGTGTCTAGAAATTCTTGTAATATGAGGGCGGTTAAGAATATCTGGTAGTGATTTGCAACACCATCAGTGTGAACTAGTGTTGTTCTCGAGTTAATCTTGTATGTTGGGAAAAACAAACTTTTTAGGGGAGGCAACTTGACCTTTGCATATAAAGAGTAAGAGAGGCGACTATCGAGGCACAGGTTGCTACCAGTGACGGAAATCCGGTCCCTTTGACATATTGTTCAGTATTTACTAGACATGAAGGCCAAATTATACCTTCCACAAATTGCAGATCACGTAATTAAAACTGCAATTACCGGCAAGCTTACTTCAGTTGCTGTCAGGGTGCATAGAATCAAATTGTGATACATGTTAGTTAAGATTCTCTTAACCATAGCCTTCAATAGATATAACGCTGCACGAACTTCGACAGACGGAGTACCCATGTTTCAAAAGAGGTGAAGTTTGAGGTCCCTTTTATTAGCCCTTTTTACAGGCAAAATCTATGCAACGTAATTTTCGCGTATTAGAATATCTTGTTTTCTTTGATTTGTGGATTCCGGATTTCCCGAATCCGATTTCTGTGTTTTACGGTTGTCGCGTTGAAAGATTCATCGCACGCAAACATCGTTTTCACAATAATGCTTTGACTTTTGCGCTACTCACCAGGTCTTCTCATGGCAGTGTGAGCCTGGCAAGAACCGCGCTCTTGTTGGAGCCAGGTTGATCAAAGGTCGTCAAAGTATACACCCGAAACAATCACCACTAAACCCTGACTGGATAATGATTAATTCAGTGTATGGCGCTATCCACCTTTTGGACAACCGGGCCGAATGTATAGCTGGGGAAGGGGGGTTGTTCAAAACTAGTTATGTCTTCACAGGCAGTATATTTATTTATCAAACATTGCCGAAGTTAAGTATTAGGATTATTATTATTGCTATGGTTAGCAATTGTGTCACGAAAATGATAACAAATATATCGTCCACCAATCATTGAGATTGGGCAGTTTTTTTTAATTCTACTCAGGTGATAAAGAGTGGTTATAATGCCTCATTAAGTAAACGTGCTGGAAACTGTTTTGTTCACCTGTCTGGCTGGTCCATAACTTATCTGCAGTTTTCAGATGGGACGCCATGAACACGCCAGAGAAATTCATAACATGCATAGAACAGTGGTAGATCTTGGGAACGTGAGAGAGACGTTTTGGTTGGGCGGTTTCGCTTGAAAAAAAAAATATTTGCGTAGCCTCTTTGGCTACGTTGTTTTGGCTCGTCACCCGTTCCTCCTCAACGAACGTTCCTTGGGGAGGGATGCGTAACGATCAAAATGAACGTCATTAGGGATGGACACGAAAAAGCACAAGATAATAACGACAAACACATCGTGCACATACGCAGCAAGTTGAAACGCTCGTGCACTGTTTCAGTTCCACAACCTGGTACTGAGAAAAAGAAGACACCAAGAGCTGTGAAACAACAAAATACGACTCATTTTCTTTCTTAATTAAAGTTATTTTATTTTCCTAATCAATCTATTGTGGTTAGAGACAAAGTTTAAGAACGATGAATGAAAAACTGCTAGGAAAAATGTCGGTGACCATATCTTGTTTTCCTGAGGCGCTTGATCTTCAGAGGAACTGATTTTATACAAACTGGTTTCCATCAATTGAAAGTCTTTACTATATCAAGACATCATTGGCACAATTTATATACACTACTGCTAAGTGAATATGACAAATTCTATCAATGAAACCTTTGTGGTTATTAAGGATGCTGAAACCTGAGGCTCTTGATCTTAAGAGGAACTGACTATGTGCATGCGGGTTTCCATCAATTTATCATAAGTATTTACTTTACAATGATTTTTATCATTGACACAAATTTATATAAAATACGGCTAAGAAAATATGATCTATTCTACAAATTAAACCTTTGTGGTAAAAGACAAAGTTTGTGAATACTGCTGGAAAAAATGCCTGGGACCATATTGATCTTCAAAGGAACTGACTATGTACAAGCAGATTTCATTAATTATGCAGAAGTTACTAAACAAACATACTATTGCCAAACAATTTACTTACATTACTGTCAACTGAATAATTCCCACGCATCGTGAATTAAATTTCAGTGGTTTCTTTCTACTAAAGAAAAAGTGACAATTTCAAGGTATGACGCGTTCTCTTATCTTAACCAAATGTTTTGTCCTTATCGAAACTAAGTAAACTACAGCGTCCACCTTATTCTACAAAACAATAACATGTCACTCTCTCTCTTATGAGCTTTCTGAGTCATCAGTGATGTCATCATGTTGCACATTCACGTACGATTTCTAAAAAAAAAAAGAAAAACAAAGTAGATGAAAGGCTTATTATCATCTTGGGTCAAGTCGTTTGTGAATAAGTTTTAGGAAGTTTAAGTAATTATAGCAACTACGTCTACGCCGAGGACAACGTCGAGTCAAAGAATGAATTTACATTTACCTACGCATATCAGGATAATCTAACGTCATTTAGTTCGTCTCTCTTTCTCGAAACTGAATATGGAACACAGCGTAAAATTCGAAATATACATTTCAAAAATTCGCCGTCGAGGTTCGCGTTCTCCACACAACACAAAATTTGGCCCTTTCATATTGGGGAGCCTCAGTAAACCACAACGGCAACGGCTACGAGAATGTCATCAAACTAAAGGGTTAATGAGTAACACAATAGCTGCGCACCTGCGTTATAAATCTTTGTACATTTATTTGCAGTCCTCTGCAAAACAATGACGTGAAATGACTAAGTTCTCCGTATTATGGAGAACGTGAACCGCAGTGGCTAATTTTTCTTGTCTTCCTTTGGAAATGAACCTTGTCATTGCATATTTTGCCTGAGCAAGTTTCTAGACCGATAGGCGTACTGAACAAATCTACGCGGTTGTGACATTGGAAGGTAAAATTTAAATCCATATTTTATAAGGCGTTGTCCTCGGCATCCATGTCGTCATTGCTAAAGCTCCCTATTCTTGTTTTGATAATGAGGAGGACACCAAAGAAATGTACTAAGAATTATAATGCACTGGTACGCCATTGTAATCCTAGGTAAACCTTTTTCCCGTTGCCGTTCTCATTGTGATTTTTTTTAAACTCATGAATGACGTGTCCACGGGGTGCTGAAAATAACCTGCTTATATCGACATAGTCGACGTTGACACGGCAATCACGACGCAAATAAATTTGTTCTCTGCGTATATTAGAATGTGTTTGTATGCATCGTCTGCATATGCAGAATAATAGAATAAGGGTGCCAAAAGTCACTGGGATTCCACATGGGCTCGGTTGACACGGGAAGAAAAAAATGTTCGTTGGCTCCATATATCGGTATGTGTTTATGTTTATCGGCTTTATATGCAGAAAAATAGAAATTATAGACGCCGAAAACACGGACTGAGATTTCTGATTTCGTACAGCATAATTATGTTCTGGTTTACGTTTCGGTATTCATTTCTTCTAACATTACAAGTCATGGGTGACTTGGAAGTGACTCGGAATCGGATTCTTTTGGTACGCAGAATAGTGTCAGTGGCTGGTGAAAGGTAAGCAGTGGGCTAAACTAGGTACTAGTGACTAAACAACCTCGACGACTGCCGAGTTGCTTAAAATGCATTTTAGGATTTCAGAGGTAACAGTTGGGATGGGTTTTAGTTTTGAACACATACAGAGAAATGTTCAGATATCCCATTAGCTTGTAATAAGATAAAAAAAAAAAATTATCTGTATTCAATCTAATTGCTCAAATCTTGTCAGAAATACTCCGCTACGCGTCATATTTTGAACGATCTCATCGGTGTCTGGAGATGTGATCAAACACGGTCTTGCCTATTTCAAACACCGAAATGAAAGATGAAAATTCGACACGCAGCGGAGAATTTTTTGACAAACTTCGAGGTGTTTGGTAATGTGGTCAAACACGTTCTTGAGTGTTTGATATTTCTTCTATCCGCCATCAATCGAGGGAGAAAATTGAGAATTCAAATCGTAAAAATCTACGCTTATTAAGATCAGATAACCAAACACCGTCACCGTCATATTTCCTTTGTTTAAAATTGATGGATTATTCATGAGTTTCAGAAACGTTACAGACCACATGGTAGAAATTTACCAACGAGATCTTTTTCAGTAAAGCTTGTATAAGAGTGCAAATGTACAGAAACAGAAAAAGGGAGAAAAAAACACTATAGAATTGTTAGAAGCACTGACAGTTACCGTAACAAGTAAACCAGCGACACATACCTTAAACGTCTTCAAGAGACATTTGATCCGTTTTGTTATGTCTTCAAAAGTAGGCCTCATCAAGGGGTTTTCCATCCAACAGCTTTGCATAAGTGCATATCTACAAACAAAATAAGATAATACTTTTACATCACTTCACATCATTTGACAAGAGATGAGATGTCATGATATTGCATAAAATAACATTTAATGGCGTTGCATTACATTGCATTAGCTTGGAAGAAGGAAGAATGTGGGCGGGGAACATGAGCGCTGCCGGCGATAAATGGACATTAAATGTGGAACATAGATTATGTCATCGTCATGAAATAGCTTTTCACAATAAATATAGTGTACTTTGTCTTTTATTATCATTCATGTTTGGAGAATTTGGAAAAAGGTCGAGTTAAACGCTAGCTCTTTATGCGAGACTTTTCTGCAGTACTAGCAGACGATAGACCCGAGTTCTTGAAAGTGCGGGCCAAACACAAAGGTCAGTGGTTAGTAATTTGAAATAATTGTAGCAGCAGAATACTGAACTTACAGTTCCTCAGTGCAATGGTCGGGACGAGGCATCCGTCTTCCAGAGGAGAGGAAACTTACAAGAGCCCGTGGTGTTGCTATATCAGGGTAGGGGAGCTGACCTGATAAGGCGATGAAATAAGGTTCAGCTTCGATACATGCACAAGTAATAGAAATTAGAATAAGTTGAGTTCACTGTAAAAATAACTCAAACGAATAAATTTAAAATTTAGATACCTTTTTAAAACAAAATTGAAAAAAAAAGGAAAAAAAGCATAAGCACAATTATTATTTCGATCTGTACTGAACACGAGGCCTAGTCACCAATTAATCGAATCAAGAGCGAAATGCAAACAGTTAGAATTTGAAGCGCGTGTCCATTCCTTGTTCCAGTTGCCAGAGGTTTTCGTTTTCAATCACCTTTGAAAATCTCGAGCAGTAAATCCAATTGTACTTTAATCATTTCCACGTGCATAAAAATGTTCACAGACTTACCAAAGGTGGTAATTTCCCATAAGACAATACCAAAAGACCATCTGAAAAAAAAAAAAGAAAAAAAAAAGATAAGAAAAAACAAGACTAACTCACAAGTCTACTCAGACTATGTGGAATTTTGAATTTTGTTGTGTTTAAAACAATGCTTCAGCTTTATTCCTGTAACTTTCACATTTTTATTCAGCTCTGTTTTTTTTTTTTTTTTTCATCCGTTTTGAATATTATCGAGCCATTTTTATAGTTTCCTGACATTTAATAGAATTCCTAAGCTAATCCAAGATATGACAAATATTAGAAAATGACGGCGTCATTTCTGCGTCGTTTGACGTCATTATTACATGTTATGGACCTTAAGAGAAATATTTTTTTTACTTTCTATTAATCCTTCAAGTTTCATCGTAATGATTTCAATTCACTTGGAGTTACAGGAGAAAAACCTCAAAAGCCCCTCGAGCTTTAAACAATAGCGGAGTAAGATGACCAAATTCTGCCTGCACTGAACAATGTGTTCTTATTTTTTATTGGTTGGAAGTCAATACATACGCCGAATGCATCAATTGCAAGATTCTTATGTAAAACATAAAATGCAGACTAAGCCTCTCCCAGGTGTTGTCCTGGATGTCGCTCAGTCCTCGTTGCAGAAGGTGTGAGAAAAGGCGTGACAATTTTAAAACAAGCAAGAAAGCTCACTTATTCGAATTTGACGCACACAGCATGATTCTGATACTTACACGTCACTCTGTGATGTATAGACTAGATATCTCAAGGATTCTAAAGACAGCCATCTCCAGGGGACCCTACCCTGTTGAAGAAAATGTACTTAGGTATTACTAACTGACATGAAAGTAAATGAATACATCCTAGTTTGATTTCTGATGCTAAAATATATTGGCTTATTGAATAGGACATATATTGCATGCCCCGGGGAAAATAGCTTTCGCCAGTATATATCGAACCGAAACTTGCTTTCCATGGATGTAATATGCGATATGTTGAGCTATTGCAATTTTCAACGTAATTATAAGGTTAATATTAGTAATATACAGGAACTAGAGATCACTTCTGTTTAAAAGTAGACTCGTCAATATTCATTTTACGCTTTGAAGTCTTTTAGAATGAATTACAGTTTACTGACAAACACGAATTCCACCTGTTTCTTGGGAAAAAAAACAGGTTTGGTGTTCTTTGTTTAAACACTCGCACTGTCCATACCGAACCATTCGACTCATTCGCCCGCGTTTTTCGCCCGCGCTTGACAACAGAGACGTGCAATTTGTTCGCGTTTTTGCGTTCATTGGTGGTGCAAAGTAGCCGTGGTTTTTTCGGTCTGCCAGCAGCGTGCTCGGCGTCTATCCTGCACTTACATTGGACGTCTTGTTGTATATGCCACGATCTGAGATATCTCTTGCCAATCCAAAGTCTCCAAGCTTAGCAACTTTATTTTCGTCAATAAGGACATTTCTTGCTGCTAAGTCGCCATGTATACACTGTAGAAAAAAGCACATGAGGCGTTTCTATAAATTCTGGAACATGCAAAATAAGCTAGCCCAAAACAGCAGCAACTGGTAAAATGAAGTTACGATATTCTTTTTGTAAAATACACGAAGAATATTTTCCCAAAACCCAGGTTTTGGCAAATTGAAGAACAGTTCTTACCTTATCTTACCCTAAACTCTAATATTGAAACTTAGGTCTTTTAAATTTAACTTATTCGTTTATGAAGTCAAAAGGTTGCCATTATGACGAAGCGAGCAACTTTGAGTCGTCATGATTACAAAATAACTTCATACGAAATTAAGGTTCAGGAAAATTCCATATCTGAATGACTAATTTTGTCCTCAACAAGAATCAATTTTTTGCGGCATTATATTATTCAAGCGGAGACATCTTCTGTTTCAGTGAAACTATATTTACATTCACTTAGACATTTATTGACAATTTGTTGCAAATCGGAGAAGATGAAATGCATTTCCTTTCTTGGCATTTGACGCAGCATAAAACTTGGCTATGTTTTCTTGTAGAGCCAGAACAAGACACTTCGGAACTATATTTTCACTGTACAAGTACACTGTACACAATGTACCACGTACCTTCTTGCTTTCCAAGTGCTGCATTCCTGTGGCGATCTGCAGAGCAATTTTCATCAGCTCCCGATCATTCAGCGCACATTTGATATTCTCGTACTTGCCGTGCTCATCAGGGGCAGGCTTGGAAGTCAACAAACTTTCAAGGGTTCCTCCGGGAATCAAATCAGTGACCAGAAGAATATTTTCTAACCAAATTAAAAATAGCGGTTAGCTTTATTTAGCCTGGTCTTCTTTAAGACCCGTGAGACGGGAGGGTTCAGACAAAGTCCTGTCTCCGTATATTTTGAACAGCATCCAAGTTTCATGAATATTTAGTCATAAATCAGCGCGGACACTTTCTCGCTGTCCCGGTGCTCCACTCCCTGTTCCTGATTTTCATGTAATGTATTCATATTCTAAAATTAAAAAATACCAATCCTTCTGAGGTTCTAGTTCCATCAGATGTAAGACCCTCTAAGAATTTGACATTTTACAACGTTCGAGCTCGACAGGGTTCGAATTTGTTTGAATTTCCAAATTTTGCGTTGGGTGATAATACAATGGCGGCCCGACTTGAAGGTTATTACGTAGGCCAAACTATGAGTTATCGCTCACGTTTTTGCTAAGTAAACAGTTCTGAGTTTTGAAGAAGTATTAATTTCAATGTGTCGGTGCTTTGGAGTTCTGAGTTTTCGTTTCAGTAGCAAAATTCAATGACAGATGTTTCCGTTACTTTACGTCTCGATACAATGCTCTATAAATTTGGTAACACACTTCTTCGAATAAACTTCTCTTCTCCGAATAAAGCGCGAATGAAAAACCGCACAGACCTAAATCTTGGCGACAGTGTTTATAAATCAATCATCTGCTATATGCCAGATTCTTTATTTATTGAATGGCTAAGATTTTAATTTTTGATGGCTCGACAGTGAAACCACCATAAGAGTGTTTTTATACCACTTTTGTTTTGTATATTTTGAGATTAGTCCAGTCAAGTAGCAGCCAAATGGATTATGCGCTGGCGTAAATGCTCTGGGTGCGAGCCCTGTCTGGGGCCATTCTGTTGTGTACTTGGGTCGGGCACCTGTGCCTCTCTTAGTAACCCTGCGATGGACTAGCACCTCATCCAGGGGCTCAGTCGAAACACTCCTTGTCACATCATTCTACAGAATGACGTGACAAAAACCGGATATAAACGTTCGCCGGATGGGCTTAGCTCGAACGGATACTTAACCCCTCTTCATCTTACCGAGTCAAAGCTGAAGGACAAACGAACTGAAACGTTACAAAAATGAAATGGAAATTTAAGTTTGTCCTGGATTAGCTTAATCGTGCTTTGAACATCCTGGCACTAGTATAAAATCATTGAATAACTGCTAGGTGGCTGGCAACGTAGAGACAGCTCATTTTATTATCAAGTTTTATTAGCTCATGGTCACGTGATGATTTCTTGGCAACTTACCACCCTGGGTGCACGCGCCAACCAAGTTGACTATATTAGGATGCCGTCCCGCCCCCTTCAAAATCTGTATTTCACTGAGTAGGGCAACTTTCTCGGTCTTATCAGCCGTGTCTACGCATTCACAAAAAAGAAAGGTAAACTTGTTTAGTAATTCACTCACCATTCTCAAATAGGCCCCTCCGAGTCACCTTGTGCCCTGGTATCAAAACCAGTCTTTGTGCAAAACCATTCATATGGAAATGTGTTCCACCCACAAGTTTATTTTCATGCAAATCAAACTCATTTTCATTTGAAAGGTTTGGCACGAAGACTCGTTTTGAAACAGAGATACAAGGTACCTCGGAAATGGTTTATTTTAGATTAATCAAAACTATAACAAAATTCTCGAACGTGATTGGCTGTCAGCAGCCCGATTTGAGCATTAATCGGACAGTGTAGGCGTCATGCTTGTAATTGGACAATACGCGTCATTTTGCGCGCGCTGTTGCGGTGCACTTTGTCGAGTAAACTGCTGGGTTTTTCAGCATTCATAACGACGTTTTAAAATCGTTCAGCGCTCAATCGATGGTTTGCTCGTTTCTCGAATTTTNCTTAGGTGATCTTAAATTTGATTTCCATTTTTTTTTTCACAAATATTTACAGCTAAGGTGAGTTAAATTCGTACAGTGTGATTGTGTGATCATCTGGGTGAGGGAAGTTCTGAAAAGAACTGTTATTGCCGTCTGACTTTTAGACAACCTAAAAGGAAGTCATCTTCAGAGTAAAGTCTGGTCAAGTGTGGTCCGTTGAAACCGATTGGTCAGTTGAGGATTGATGGTATAGATTAAAAATATGATAAAAACAGTCATGAGAACCAGACGATTTTGTGTTGTGCTGATTGAGATGCAGTATAACCGACGCAAGGAATGAATTCACTATCTACATACATACCTTTCAACTGTTTCACTGCTACATCAATGACTTTCGTATCCTTACAATGATAGCGTCCTTTATAAACAATTCCAAATTCCCCTTCTCCAAGCACTTCATCTCGGACTTCAAGTCTTTTTAGGTCGATTTCATAGTCTTCCTCGATCTCTTGGGAATTGCTAGAAGAACTTTCATCATATTTTGTGCCCTGTTTAGTTTCTTTGGTAGGCTTTGGAGGTCTGGGAGGCGTGGCTTCAAAGTCCGGTGTTGGCAGCAACTCTCTAACTTTTGGGGGCTCATGGGCAGGTGAAAAGCCAACACCTAAAGCACCTAGCTTTGGCTTTGTTTCAGCTTCTGGTTCACTCATGGAGCCACGTGAAGGCAATAACCCAGGTTCCTTTTCAGTCTCTTGCCAAACTAAAATAAGATCAGTATTCTCTTCAATATCCAAGGGGATGTCTTGTCCTTCAAGGATGTTGCCTCTACCTCCCTTACCTGGCGTCTGAAAATTAGGATTCTGGGTCTCTGACTGCAACGTACCCAAACAGGTCACATTATGTTCCGAGTTTTCTTCCATTCTTTGAGTCTCCTTTTCAATTTGTGGAATCGGAGGCAGCGGTCTTGCTTGAGGAGGCTTCTTGACTTGACTTTCAACACCTAATAAGGGGTTTTCCTCAGGACTGTGTCCTGACAGTGGCACTTCCTCGTGTTCCTGGGGTGCTGGATTGTTGTCGATATAATCGTAGATGTTTTCGAGTTGGTCTTCCTCTTGTATCTGCCCAGTGAATTTAACGCCCTGCTCAGGGTCTTTGTTCTCATATTTCTAGAAAGAATGGTAAAATACGTCATTGTAAGTGTTTAAAACTATTGTGTCTTCACGGAGGGAAAATATGTAACAAAATATGTCAAACATGGTCCCAGGGGTGGGGCTGCTCAGATACATTGGTGATCGAGGAGTGTAATTCTATTAGACAAAAACGTCCGCATCGAACAGCCCAGAAAGTGATCAAGAACCTTCCTTTTTTGCTCTATAACGTGACGAGAAACGCGGAACGTGACCTACTTATGAATAAATGCCTAACACAGGAAAATACAGTGAATAAAAGCGCTAGCGGGTAAATATTACAGGGCAAGCAGATTTTCCGCAAAAAAATGTCTTCTTTCTAATTTTGCCCATACCTACATGTCCTTTGTCGGGATGATTCCATGCTCATCAGAAAAAAGAAAATCGAAATTCGTCTATTTTCTTGTTGTTACACCTTTGTATTACATATTTTACAAGTCTATATATATATATATATATATATATATATATATATATATATATATATATACAATGTGGGAGGAAAAACACAAATAAACTACAAGTTCA